ATCATGACTCTAGGCCTGTCCGTTCTTCAGAAGAAGTTGTTTAAAGGAAAAGTTGACGGACGAGGACGGACGGACGGACGACAGACGGACGGACGACGGACGCCGCGCCATGGCATAAGCTCACTTGGCACTTCGTGCCAGGTGAGCTAACAATGACACGACACAAAAACATGATGACGTGTACAAATAATAGATTATGTTCATTCAAAAATACAGCATGATTTTGATAATATTAACAGTGTATAACTCCACTGAGCTGCCACCTTTTGTCCGATATACTTTTGGTGATATACAAATAAAGTCTTTGATAAAATAACTTGTGATTACTCCAGTACATAAGTAAACTATAAAATTAATGCATGCAAGGTGCACTTAGATCTTATTTATATTTGTGCAAAAGATTGTCTTGTTTGATAGCAGACAAAATACATATTCTCTGGAAAAATCATTAAAACCGAGATAGTCTAGCAGAATTTTATACACACAGCAGCAAATATTATGTTAAGTTAAAAATACATGGGACGAAAGCTGAGCAACTTAAATGACTTTAATGCCACAGACAGATAGCACTCTGTACACCTACCATCAAAGTTTAGGGAGGGGAGTTTGACAATATTTTATTTGTTAAGCTGGTTTAATAGATATCAATGCTAGTGAACGCATTTCACATACAAAAGAAATCAAGTAATACCTCATTACTCTACCACAATTAATCCAACAGAATGTTGGCTTTATATAGGAATTGTAAAATATATGAAGGAGAACAAGTCTACAGCAGGTACACCCATCCCTTGCCAAACTGACATACTCAAATTCCTTCTGATGTATTATTGTATCAAAATGTGTGAAAATATAGAAATGTAATAATAAACTACATTCATTCTGTATAACTCAAATACTTGAAATAGGTAAGTGATGGAGCATTTACACCAAGGATTCCGTAAAGGTTAGTTTTATTTGGTTTACATGTTTAGGATGGCTAGGACGAATGATACTGTAAAAATTTTCTGATGACGTTGGCCTAGCCATCCAAAACATGTAAACCAAATAAAACCTACTTTTACGGAATCCTTGGTGTTGACGCTCCGTCACTTACCTATTTGTATTTACCTACTTTGGTTGAAGCTCTACTTGAATACTTTGGTATCCACCTCGGATCCCTACACCGGTACATTAACCGACCACCACCCACAGGACGGTGGATCTCCTTACCACCTCGGATGCCTACACTGGTAAATTGACCGACCACTACCCACAGGAGGTTAGATCTCCTTACCACCTCGGATCCCTACACCGATACATTGACAGACCACTACCCACAGGACGTTGGATCTCCTTACCACCTCGTATCCCTACACTGGTAAATTGACCGACCACTACCCACAGGAGGTTATATCTCCTTACCACCTCGGATCCCTACACTGGTATATTGACCGACCACTACCCACAGGACGGTGGATCTTCTTACCACCTCGGATCCCTACACCGATACATTGACAGACCACTCCCCACAGGACGTTGGATCTCCTTACCACCTCTGATCCCTACACTGGTAAATTGACCGACCGCCACCCACAGGACGTTGGATCTCCTTACCACCTCGTATCCCTACACTGGTACATTGACCGACCACTACACACAGGACGGTGGATCTCCTTACCACCTCGTATCCCTACACTGGTAAATTGACCGACCACTACCCACAGGAGGTTATATCTCCTTACCACCTCGGATCCCTACACTGGTATATTGACCGACCACTACCCACAGGACGGTGGGTCTCCTTACCACCTCGGATGCCTACACTGGCAAATTGACCGACCACTACCCACAGGAGGTTATATCTCCTTACCACCTCGGATCCCTACACTGGCACATTGACCGACCACTACCCACAGGACGGTGGATCTTCTTACCACCTCGGATCCCTACACCGATACATTGACAGACCACTCCCCACAGGACGTTGGATCTCCTTACCACCTCTGATCCCTACACTGGTAAATTGACCGACCACTACCCCCAGGAGGTTAGATCTCCTTACCACCTCGGATCCCTACCCTGGTACATTGACCGACCACCACCCACAGGACGTTAGATCTCCTTACCCCCTCGGATCCCTACACCGATACATTGACAGACCACTCCCCACAGGACGTTGGATCTCCTTACCACCTCGTATCCCTACACTGGTACATTGACCGACCACCACCCACAGGACGGGGGATCTCCTTACCTTATCATTGTGTTGGTTTACCAATACCTTTATTTCTTTCTACTCTGTATAACTCAGTAAGGATAAGAACTATTCATGTGGTGCAGTGAAAGGAAAATCATACTATACTTAAATTACTTAAGCTGAAGAAATGAATATATTTCAATACCCTAAATTCCATAATTTAATAAATTCCAGAAAGGGCCATATCTCCATAAGTAATGGTTGGATAATGGTGCTAATCAAAATTGTCTGAGTATTGAGCTCGGTTTGGCAATTCCATAAAGTGCTGCAAGTCCAACATTACAAACAGTTATGGTCAGATAATGGTGGATATCGAACTTGTCAGGTTTATTGTAAGTAACCTCTCTATGAAGTTTAATCCATTGAAATTACTCAAAATATCAAGCAGACAATGTTTCAGCAACTGAATAAAGGGAAATACCACTGTAAATTATGGTCCAAAAGGTTGATTATCAAACCTGTCCAAGCTTTCAAGGTAATTAACTTTGATGTTAATCCGTTGAATATACTCGAGATATCAGGTGGACACATTTTTGGCAATTGAATAAAGGGTCATAACTCCTTAAATTACAGTTCTTGCATTTACTACACAATGCCCTTATTTGGAAATAAAAGGGGCATAACTCCACCAAAAATGCACGTTAACTTCTAAAATGCAAACTTGTTCGAGCTATATTTGTATGCAATATGGGTACAAAGTTTGCAGTGCAATCAACCCAAGGGAACTCAAGTTATCATACGGAAACCTTGTTTCAGACGATGCAACCGACGACATCGCCAACAAAGTAATACCTATATGTCGTCTCCCGTTGCAGGCGACACAAAAAGGAGAAATTTGCACAGGAAAGAAATAAAGCAATAAGCTAGTTGATAGATAGATATGACCATTTAGTTTAGTGTCCCTTTTGATGGAAGAACTGAGGAAGGTGAAACATGGTGATAAATGGAGAATCTTAGATTACATCTTAACAAAATAAAAGTATACAGTTGCTTCTTTCCTATGACTTCGACACATTAATAAATGCAGTAAAAACCTTCAAAAAATATGACACATACACCCTGCCAAAAAATTGACTGCCATGATATGTAAAAGAAACAATCATATTGCAATTAATTGTAAATGAAACTACACAACAAGGTTCTTAACTCAAACACAATACCGGGTAAACCAAAATAACACTTGAGTATTACTTTCTCATTCCATTGCTGTGTTAATTTCTATTGTCTAAGGCTAATTTCATTAAACCTAATTTACTTGATATATAGATTATATATTTCATAATGGTTATGGGAACAAATATCTTTTTAAAGCTACATTAGATATAAAAATACTCTTAAAAAAATATGAACAAAATCAACACAATTTCTTCAAGTAAATAAATCATTAACATTCTTATATTATTTCTTGTCCTTTATCTGAGATTGAAAATAGTATTTAGCATATTCAGACAGGTAAGGCTAACATTGAACAATCAATGACCTAGCACATGCTGCCTCGTTAACCTTGTATTTCCCAGCTACATGAAAGTGGTACTGTAATAGAAAGTTTCTTTTCTTGTTTATATTTAAAATAATTATGGAAAGTTACTAACATTCAAAGACAAAAATACAAGACACTTAAACTTAAATTGTAAAACAAATTATAATGGTAATGGCAAATGGTTTTTGCTGTTATATTTAAAATAGTTATGGAAAGTTACTAAACTTGCAAAGAAAAAACTGCAAGACACTACTGTTATATTTAAAATAGTTATGGCAAGTTACTAACATTGCTACAGTAAAATAATAATGGCAAGCACCTGTTATATTGCCTGTGTAATAGTTAGAAACTGTTATAAATGGAAAGTCATTTTCCCTGGTAAAGTAAAATATTTATGGCAAGTTATTATTCATGCTATAGTATTAAAAATAGAATATCATGCCGCATGACCAGAATATAAATATATATACTATACATGTATATAAATATATGGAATTAAATATGGAACAAGTAAACTGTACATCATATGCAGCACAACAGGGTTATATCACCACACTGGGGAATGATTTTGCCCCCTTGTTCAGTAAAACTGATTTTTTCTTATTTAAAAAAAAATCTGACCAGAATATTATGTCAGACTTTTAACTGATGACCTTGAAATAGACCTCAAAAACTAACATCAATGAAACAACATAGGTCAGCAAGGCTTTAATTTCTGAAATTACTGCATTTAAAAGTAGACAAATCATTCTGTGTACACAGAAGTCTTCGTGATATCAAAGTCTGGTATATAATGTCACTCTTGGATATTTTACAGTGACATGCATCACCTGTAAGTTCAGTGAAGAACAGACAGGGAACATAGTAATATAAAGTAATATATTTAGTCCAAATAGTATAATATATTTTCCTAACACTTTACTTTCACTGTATTACTATGCATTCAACAAGGTTTAGAATTTGGTTTAAGCGTTTCAAATGATGTATAAACGTAGCTTGCAGAGAAAGTGTCATGTAGAAGTGTAAGGAAAGACAACTCTTGTAGAGGTGACCCAGGCCAATTGCAAGACACTATATATACATGTTAAAAAGGTGATCTCAATGGAATGTAGAGATTACAATATTGTATGTATACAGTAGAAGATTGTTTTCTCATGCCTCAGACAGGAATATCCAACATGATACCCCAATTTTCACACAGCAATGTATCAATTTGTGAGATAACAGTTTGAAATTGAGATTCTGCATTCTAAATATTCTGTTTTGTCATTGTATGTATTGTTTAGATATTGTTAGATTCCTGATGTTGTAGAAAAAATACATTCTTAACTGTGAAATGTGTTCTTCTTTGCAAGGACGGACTACATTTTTACAGAAAGCATTCAAAAGTAGCTTTAGTAGTGAATAGGCCATATTACTTAAGTCCCCTGGCCCCAGGATCATGAAACGATCTTAAGTCTAAAACTATCTGAAGTTTTGCCTTAGCCAATCACAAATAACGTCATGAAAGCGACGTCATACTTAGCTTGAAAAGCTTAAGTCTAAGATTGTTTCATGATCCCGGGGCCAGATGTTGAACTTGTACACTTAAGCATGATCTGTTATTTTCTCTTACTAAAAGGTGCAAAAAAGTTCAATTATTTATAACTGAGCAAGGTGGGGTTATCCTAGCCTCGGGATACGATTCTGTAAAATCCAAACCTCAGCTTATGCCTCAGTTTGGATATGTTACATAATCCTAGCCCTCACCTGAGATTAATAGAATCTAAGCCTCGTGTTTGGCAACTTAAGAATCTCTCCCTCGGGTTGAGATTACCCTACCTCACCCTCAAGGGGGTGAATGATTCTTTTTCTCTTACCCTGTTCACTTGTGGTGTATCGTATGCATATTGCAGTGTTAACGTTTTCAGGCTAAATTCAGGGTTGACGTAACGTCATTTTATTGTTTAAGTGACGTCATACCATTGTTATGAATAGGGGAATCCCCCCCTTCTCAACCCTAGGGCGAGACAAGAAAATCTCACACCGGTAGAAGTGCGGATACACCTGTGCGGGGTAAGAGAAAACCCAATCTCACTCAGTTAAAGGTAATAGATTTTATTTATCATCAGCCCAGGATGCTTCCAACCAGATGTTGCTTAATTCCATGACATATAGTTCCAGAAGAGATATCGCTCAAAATACTATGGTAAAATAATCTATCTTTTGTCCTGTCCTTTAGTCCCACAGGGGGCAACCCTTCCATTGATACAATTTTAAATTCACGGTTGATATCTATCTAATAATTCAAGAGGAGAATTTGCTTAAAGCAACATGGCCACATTACTCATTTTTGGCGCTGACTCTCAGCCCAAAGTGGGGTCAGCTCCTTTATTAACCATTTTGAATCCCCCACAACTAAGGATAAAGCTGTCCAGAAGAAGTTGTCTGAAGAACCTGTTGACTTAAGGGCGATGACAGACACCACAGTACAGGAAAAAGTCACCTTGGTCCTCCAGATCAGGTGAGAAAACAAGGTTCCACTGTATATACAATTATGAGCAAATTTTGTTTTTCACATCACTAACCCTCATGCACAAAATTACAATAATAGTAACATAATTTGCTTTTATCTAAGAAAAATATTTTAACATGTATTAAACATATCTCATAACAGCTGTACTTGAACACAGATTATCTTTCCTGTAAGCCTGGTATGGTAAGGAAAACCCTAAGGACAGAACACATACTAATGGAAGATTATTGCTTGCATCATAATAATTATTAGTATATGTATTGCACAATTGCTTGCCCCTGCCCTACATGCCCTGCCCCTATGGTTCCCTGTCGCCAGACAATGGACGCCCTGCCCCTATGGTTCCTCTGTCGTCAGACAATGGACGCCCTGCCCCTATGGTTCCCTGTCGCCAGACAATGGACGCCCTGCCCCTATGGTTCCTCTGTCGTCAGACAATGGACGCCCTGCCCCTATGGTTCCTCTGTCGTCAGACAATGGACGCCCTGCCCCTATGGTTCCTCTGTCGTCAGACAATGGACGCCCTGCCCCTATGGTTCCTCTGTCGTCAGACAATGGACGCCCTGCCCCTATGGTTCCTCTGTCGTCAGACAATGGACGCCCTGCCCCTATGGTTCCTCTGTCGTCAGACAATGGACGCCCTGCCCCTATGGTTCCTCTGTCGTCAGACAATGGACGCCTTGCCCCTATGGTTCCTCTGTCGTCAGACAATGGACGTTTTCTCAGAGAGTTTGTGGATCCATTGACAATGGGTTCTGTTTCCTTTGGTATGTCGTCTTCCTCCCCACAAGTGGATGATTCAGTGTCACTTCGGACATCTTTTAGCTGAAACAGGAAATGTCCATAAATGCACTTTTGTAAACACATAACAAGTATACCTGTGTCAGTACAGGTATAACTGTAAAATGAACCTGCCTTTACAGGTCTCTCTGTATAACACACACTTGTCTATACATAGAGTGCTCTGAATATAACACACACACATGTCTATAAAGATCTCTAAGTATACTATACACCTGTCTTTAGAGGTCTCTTTATAACACATGTGTCTATAGAGGTCTCTGTATAACATACACCTATCTATAAGGGTGTACCCATATAACACACCTGTCTGTAGCTCTCTTTGACGTACACCTGTCTATAAAGGTCTACCAATATAACACATCTGTCTATAGAGGTATCTGTATAACATACACCTATCTTTAAAGGTCTACCCATATAACACATCTGGCTATAGAGGTCTGCCCATATAACACACCTGTCTGTAACTCTGTAACATACACCTATCTATAAAGGTCTACCCATACAATACACCTGTCTGTATTTTTCTTTAACGTACGCCTGTCTATAAGGGTGTACCAATATAACACATCTGTCTGTAGTTCTCTTTAATGTACACCTGTCTATAAGGGTGTACCCATACAACACACCTGTCTGTAACTCTCTGTAACTTACACCTGTCTATAAAGGTCTACCCATACAACACACCTGTCTGTAACTCTCTGTAACTTACACCTGTCTAGAAAGGTGTACCCATACAACACACCTGTCTGTAACTCTCTGTAACTTACAGCTGTCTATAAAGGTGTACCCATATAACACATCTGTCTATAGAGGTATCTGTATAACATACACCTATCTTTAAAGGTCTACCCATATAACACACCTGTCTGTAACTCTCTGTAACATACACCTATCTATAAAGGTCTACTCATATAACACACCTGTCTGTAACTCGCTGTAACATACACCTATCTATAAAGGCCTGCCCATATAACACACCTGTCTGTAACTCGCTGTAACATACACCTATCTATAAAGGCCTACCCATATAACACATCTGGCTATAGAGGTCTGCCCATATAACCCACCTGTCTGTAACTCTGTAAAATACACCTATCTATAAAGGTCTACCCATACAACACACCTGTCTATAAAGGTATCTATATAACATACACCTATCTATAAAGGTCTGCCCATATAACACACCTGTCTATAGAGGTCTCTGTATAACATACACCTATCTATAAAGGCCTGCCCATATAACACACCTGTCTATAGAGGTCTCGGTAACATACACCTATCTATAAAGGTCTGACCATATAACACACCTGTCTATAGAGGTCTCGGTAACATACACCTATCTATAAAGGTCTACCCATATAACACACCTGTCTATAACTCTCTGTAACTTACACCTGTCTATTAAGGTCTACCCATATAACACATCTGTCTATAAAGGTATCTGTATAACATACATCTATCTATAAAGGTCTACCCATACAACACACCTGTCTATAAATGTATCTGTATAACATACACCTATCTATAAAGGTCTACTCATATAACACACCTGTCTGTAACTCTCTGTAACATACACCTATCTATAAAGGTCTACCCATATAACACACCTGTCTATAACTTTCTGTAACTTACACCTGTCTATAAAGGTCTACCCATATAACACATCTGTCTATAAAGGTATCTGTATAACATACATCTATCTATAAAGGTCTACCCATACAACACACCTGTCTATAGAGGTCTCTGTATAACATACACCTATCTATAAAGGTCTACCAATATAACACATCTGTCTATAAAGGTATCTATAACGTACACCTATCTATAAAGGTCTACCCATACAACACACCTGTCTATAAATGTATCTGTATAACATACACCTATCATATAACACACCTGTCTGTAGTTGTCTTTAACGAACACCTGTCTATAAGGGAGTACCCATATAACACACCTGTCTATAGAGGTCTTTGTATAACATACCCCTATCTATAAAGGTCTACCAAAATAACACATCTGTCTATAAAGGAATCTGTATAACATACATCTATCTATAAAGGTCTACCCATATAACACACCTGTCTGTAGTTTTCTTTAACGAACACCTGTCTATAAGGGTGTACCCATATAACACACCTGTCTGTAGCGCTCTTTAACGTACACCTGTCTATAAAGGTCTACCCATATAACACACCTGTCTATAGAGGTCTCTGTATAACATACACCTATCTATAAAGGTCTACCAATATAACACACCTGTCTATAAAGGTATCTGTATAACATACACCTATCTATAAAAGTCTACCCATACAACACACCTGTCTATAAAGGTATCTGTATAACATACACCTATCTATAAAGGTCTACCCATATAACACACCTGTCT